AAAAAAAAAAAAAAAAAAAAAAAAATCTGCCTAAGATTTTTAGTTTTTTAGTAAGTTTTAATTTTCTTGTTGTTTGTATTTACATCATTAAATTTGTAATAAATTATATTCATAAATACTGTAACAGTTATGTTTTATATTTAACTTAACTATGCATTTTGTTGTTTTGGTAAATGATAAGTAATATTATATAATTTGATGTAATCTTTCAACATTACTATATATCTCGTCTTTTGGTTGAAAACTGATTTTAATCACTTAATTTGATGTAATCTTTCAACATTACTTCTATTTATTCACTTAATTTTAATCATTTCAAATAGTGCAACAAAATCAACTTTCAAGACTTTAGAAGTATGTTTTTATTTGTCTCATGAAATAAATTTATAATATAAACGATAATTCTATTAATTATTTTGCATTTTTCATTTGTAGGGATTCCATAATTTATTTGACATGGTTCTACATGTAGCAAAAAAAAAAAAAATCCTATATAAATTTTTAGTTTAGTACTGTAGATTTATATAAGTTTTGTCAAGTTTATGTTTACTTTTATCACTTTTATTTTAAATTGAATTTGTAATTATTGTTATGTAAACAAGTACAAATTGGTCTATTGATTGTGAAATGAATAGATTTCACTCGGGCTCCTTCAACTCGAATGGCCTCCGTACCTGCAGAATGTTCGCTAATTATTTTTGCTATCCGCAAGTGTACGGCGTAGCTATAGGTAGTGGCGAGCAAGGTCGTATTCCACAGAGATTGTAGTTAAATTAATTAAGTACTAAAATAATAACGATTAAATATTATTTAGACTAACGAACGAGATGATGATTTTAAACTAAGAAATTAATCTAAGAACTAATTTATCTAAAATAATAAAAATAAATCAAGATTTAAAGATAGATTCTAGGTTCTGCTTTCCTCGGAATTAATTCATTAAACATTTATATTCATACAAACCTTATTTAATTTTACCAATCGTAGAGATAATCGCTAAATTGATTTCAACTTTTCTTTCGAACAAGCAAATCGTAGATATTAATTGTTATCTATCTCCTCTCGGTCTCAAGATGAACAACTAACTCCCATAAGTTCCTAAGATTTTCGTTCTCTCGCAAGATTCTATCTCGGTCTCAAGATGAACAACTAACTCCCATAAGTTCCTAAGATTTTCGTTCTCTCGCAAGATTCTATCAACCACTCGGTCTGTTTAGTCTCATACGTTATAAATTTCTCAATTCTAGCAATCAATTATCTCCTCTCGGTCTCAAATCAATTACAAATATGCATTCATAGTGGCCATCTACTCACGCAATAATAATACGCACAAGAAATTCATAAACGAAAGATAAACCAGAATGAAATAAATAAAAACTAAATCATAAATCAATCCGAGTACTAACAAATCCTAGAATCCAAATTAAATTAGCCTAGAAACATGCTTTCAAAATAAATATAAAACATTGAGTTCGAAAGAAGAAAAGAAAAAGAAAGAAAAAGCTTATTCGGCTCCGTCGATCCCTTCTTCCCTGGCTTTCTCCCTCGTCTTGCTCGTGTTTCTAGCCTCCAAAAGTCTCCAAAGATCTGAAAATTAGGTCCTCTCTCCCCCAAAAACGTGTCCAAGTGTCTCTTAAATAGATGTGGTCGAGTCCTAGTCAAAATATGTCGAAAATACCGAAAAAATAGGAAAAACGCGTAAAACGCGTATGGGACCCGTCCAGACTCACACGACTCGTGTCATAGGACACACGAGTCGTGTGAAAATGCCGAGAGCTCGATTTGGACCCCTTTCACGCGACACGACTCGTGTCTCGACGTCACACGACCGTGTGAACCTGGGAGTTCAATTTTTGCTGCATTTTTCACCTCCTGGTACATTTTACGTCATCACAGGTATTAAAGAGCGCTCCCAGTCGTGTCCGTCAGCTTCTGGTCGTCAGAGGATGCTGAGCATGGTGGTTTCAACCAATTCCGGGTAGCTCCCATCATCGTGTGGAAAAGTGCAGCAGCTCCGGCGCGGATTCAGCTTCCAGTCCTCTTCAACGGCGCTCGGTTCTTTGGTCGGATCTCCGGCGATCATGGAACGCGTTGGGAGCAGCAAGATGGCGCGGTGGTCAAGCTCCTCCTGAGCAGCAATGGCGGGCGATGTTCTGTACGTGAAATTGAAGAAGATGATGACTTTTTATTCACAGCAAATTACCAAACTACCCCCAATTGTGTGGCTTTTAGTTCCAAATGGGTTGTGTCATGAATTGGGCTGCTAGGTAGTGGGCTGTGATAGCTGATTTTCTTTTCTTCAATAAAGCCTAGTAATTGGGCCATTTCAATACACAGCTCGCACACCGTCTTCAT